TGGTAATCTTTATTGTGGCTTATTAAATTTAAAAAATAAAAATGTTCGATATTCTTTCTTCTGCAAACCAAAACAAAATGGAATCTCTTTTTTTCAAGTTCTTTTGCTTTTCCACTTAGGGAAATTTTGCTTCTTATTTTCTGCTGGAAAAAAAAGTCCTACTTTACCAATGATTCGGATTGAACTAAATGAAAACTAAATAAATAAAAGCCAGAAAATATCTTCCCCGCTAGAGGGAGTATTCAAGCGTTGCGATCGTGAATTAGGAAATTAAAAACGCTTAATTTTTACCGTCCCACCGTGGACTGATCGTTAAGACACGGTTCCCAGCAGATCACCGAAGTCAAGCATCATTGGCTGCGGTGTCAGTGTGCGGGTGGGTGACCACTTGGATCAGTCTGCGTAGGAACCGAGGGTGTGCGGTATGGGTCCTCGTTAAACTGTGCAACCGTAAAGTGCTCTACTTCGCGTGCAGGTCGTCGGGCTACCGAAGCGGGGGTGTCATCCCCTCTGCAGAGGATCAAAATTGTGATGGCATATCTTTGGATCATCCTCAGGGATGTTGCTTAGGCTCGTCGCCAATAGCCCATTGTGCAACTCTAGTGTGACGTAAATGAACTACAACAACAACAATAACAGCTTAATTTTTACCACTTTTTAATTTTTACCACGATCCGTCCACTGCGGGACAAACGCGCGTTAAAGTAACGAGTAGAAAAAAGTAACGCTAAGTGAAAAGTAATGCATAGAGAATGGAACGCAAAGTAACACCGAAGGCAAAGTAAATGGAACGCAAAGTAACGCGTAAAATTAAATAACGCATAAAAGTAATGCATAAAAAAGTAAATACAAAAAAGTGACGCAGAAATATGTAACGCTTAAAAAATAACGCGTGTATTTAACGGATAAAGAAAGGCAACGCGAAAAAATTAACAGCTCGTTAAAGTTATGTATAATTAATCTTCGAGTAATAAAAGTAAAACTCGTAACAATTACAGGTATAATGCGTAAAATATGCATAAGAAAAGTAAACTTGTAAATGTGACATATAAATTAAGTGACGCATTGAGAAAAGTAAAGTATAAAATGTAAAGCAAATTAATGTTAAGCACAAAGCAAATTAACGCGCAAAAGAAATAAAGCACATTCGCATTTTCTCGTGCTTACTTTTTTTACGTTACTTTATTTTTCGCGTTGATATTTTACCTATTAATTTTCCTTAAGTGGTACTTATCACATGCTTTACGTTTAAGTCATATATTTTCCGAATTTTTTGTTCTTGTAAATTACTTTTATTTTTCTTTTACGTTACTTTTAGCATATGCTTTTCTCACGCACAATTTTGCGAGTTTCCTTTTTTTAGGCGTTAGTTTAACTTTTACGCGTTACTTTTCTTCATGCGTTTGCTTTTAGGAATTTACTATTGTCTCGCATTTTTTATTAAAGATTTTATTATAAGTTCTATTGAGTAGTGGTGGTTCAGGGGATAGAGCGTTCGCCTTCCAATAAGGTGAACTGGGTTCGAATTCCGGCGATGGCTGGTCGATACGTATTTCTGATCCGTCTTGAACCGACCCCAGTGCTGACGTGAAATATCCTCAGGGGTAGGCGGATCATGGGTTAGAGTCCCCTTGCCGTCAAGCTGAACGTGGGAGGTTCTCGTGTTTTTCCTCTCCTTGTAACGCAAAGGCGGGTTAGTTCCGTCAGAAAGTCCTCCATGAAGGCCAATTTCTCCCAATAGTTGATCCAGGAGTTCCCTTGTCTTCTGGATAGGGTTCAAAATTGTAAGGCTACGGAATTGAACATTAGAAGTCGTAAACTCAAAATTGGGTTCGCTGTTCAACGACGGATATAAAATAAGTTCTATTATTCGTTTATTTATTTATACTTTACTTTTCATTGAAGAGCCTACTCATCTTATGCGTTACTTTTAATCTTTTACTTTTATTATGTTTCACTTTAACGTGCTTACTATCGCTTTACTTTTTTATGCATTACTTGGATGTAAATTAAAGCATGAAAATATGCGTAATTTTTTTTTATGAGATACTATTTATTAATCGTTATGTTTGCCTGTTCCTTACATTTTACCTTTCTCTATATTCTTTTATCTATACGTTAAATTCACATATTACTTTTACTGCGTGTTAATTTTCAATATGCTACCATTTAATTGAATGACATTTGTTACTTTGTATTTGATATTTAATTTTTTTAAAAGCTTGATGCTTCACGCGTTAATTTTCTTTATGCCTTTCTTTTATTTTTACGCGCTTCCAACTCTCATGCATACGTTTACACTTTTATTTTTTTATGCATTGCTTTTACTCATTACACGCACTATATTTTTCGCTTTACTCTTTTAAACGTTACTTTCGCTTGTTAGATGCATTATCTTTTTTTTTCTAATCTTACCAGTACTTTTACATGATGCTCTACTGCATTTTTAATTCCATATTTTAATGCCTTTACATATAATTTTACTCGTTTACTTTCTCTATGCATTACTTTACTTTATAGTCTGTTACTCTTACGCGGTTACCTGCGTCACTATTTCATTCCTTTATTTCAGATTATATTGCGCTTTCCGTTTACATTTCGAGCATTAATTTATGTCGTTTATGTGTTTACTTTTATATTGCTGCATAAATTAAATTATGATTAAATATATTAAAGAAAAGTATTTTTTTGAAGAAAAAAAACTCGAAAACATTTAAAAATTCAAGAAAAAAAAACTTGCAAAAAATACAGCAAAAATAGAAACATAATTTAAAAATAATAAGACGACGGAAATTCTTACAGAAAAATTGCTAAGATTGCCCTTTTAAACTGCTAAACAAAATATTCGTGTGCATCACAGGGGCACTAGGTTAACTGCAACCCTTTTATTTTCTTATCTGGTTGCAGTTACTGCACTTTATGTTGTTATTGTTGTTGTTACTTATTCCACTTAGCCCAGAACAAGGCTAGACCAAGTCCAGAAGACCGTTCACCGACAGAAAATTATATACCATCGCCGGACCCTCCAGGATAAAATTCTTTTCTAGCCCCATACAGGACAGCAAATGATCAGGTGTAGCTTGGTGCACATTACATTTTAAGCATGCAGTGTAAGTCCTTTCATCCTGAACAAATGTTAGTCCACGGGTATGACCACTGATTTGTCTTGTGATAGCTGTCTGCAGTTTCCTATCACCTTTTAGCCCCAGGGAGAACTATTTTGTTGATACCAATCATGACTAGGTACTGTACTTTATTCATTCTGTTACGTTTATTCCGTTTATTTATATTAAGTTTATTTAAGCAGTTACCGTACTTTATACACTGTTCTTTTGAAGAACAGTGAGGTAGAGAGTATTATGAAAGTTATTCACTGAAAAATTGTGTTACTTCATTTTGATAATAGCTTAAGTAGGTCCACTTGGTCAGCTCCCATTCATTAAATAATCTTCGATGTAGAATTTTGATAAAAATATTCTGCTTCATTATTTAAAAAATGGGAGCCTTAAACCCCTCCACCACGATAAGGTGGGACCTTTTGGAGGGGACCCCCACCCGTCCAGGTTGCTTTATCTGTTCGTACACAAAACAACTTTTAAATTATTTAACTGTTTTCTTTTAAAGAAAAGCTTAAGAAAAAAAAAACTATTTTTGTTAATTTCCCGATAACCACTTCTACGCCTCAAACTGTGATTTTACGGTTACCAACCCTTATTAATAAAAAAAAAATCTTAGTGCTTAGTAATACATTTTATAGTTTGTAGTCTTATAGTGTTTAGTAATATATTTTACAGTTTGTAGTTTTATAGTGTTTACTAATATGTCAAAAGTTATACAGAATTAGAGGTTTGAAAATGGTTATTATGATTTTTACAACTAAGATATTATGAACATGAAATTAAGAAACTCTGTAAACTTAACCCGCAGCAACCTGGAAGTCCGCTCTAAACACCCAGTTTTTATTTTTTCTATAGATAACTTTTTGGTACATGTAATAATCTTTGTGAAGTCATTGAATATGGGTCTCTTACGGTTCCCAAGCCTTTGTGAAGTGATGTAATGTGGGTCTCTTCTGGTTCCCAAGCCTATGTCACGTGATGTATTGTGGGTTTCTTATGGTTCCCAAGCCTATGTCACGTGATGTACAGTGGGTATCTTATGGTTCCCAAGCCTTTGTGAAATGATGTACAGTGGGTATCTTATTGTTCCCAAGCCTTTGTGAAATGATATACAGTGGGTATCTTATGGTTCCCAAGCCTTTGTGTAGTGATGTACAGTGGATATCTTATGGTTCCCAAGCCTTTGGGAGGTGATTGGTTGTTTTCTCAAGTCATGGCCAATACGAAATCATTCATCATCGAAATAAGAATCAAACTCACGTAACAATAGAAAAAGTATTGCCTTGTATACTTAAACAACTAAATACTAATAACTACTCTTCATAATCAAATTTTGAAAATTTAAAGATAGCCAGAATAACTTAGACATTTATTGTTATAAAAAGCATCAGATTTGCTTTTCTCTTGATACACACATTAATTTAGTATAAACCAATGACCAGAAATATTTTTTCATAAGGAATAAGCTTAAATATAATAATTATATAAGGAAATAATAATGAATGAATGATTGATTGTATTAAAAATTTTGAAAGGAGGTGATACCGGAATGTAACTTTTCTATTGAGAAGAATTTGAATTCATTATTTCTTTGACAATGATTCCGGTTGCAGTGTGAAATCCCTGATTTTTTTTAATTCTCCTATGTGGTATACTTAATCAACTGTATAAACAACACTTTATGGCCGCCTCAAGTATTTCTTTCCTACTTTTGCTATACATGCTTACACTGATTAGCTTTAATGTTAATTTATTTACTTTACCAATCGCTAAAAAAGATGTTAATTTTTTTTTAATTTTTTTTATTTTATTTTTTTAATTTAAAATTTTCTTTTTTTTAAATTTCATACTTTTTTGAAATATATTTAATGTAAGCTGATATTTTTTGTGCCAGTCTATTGCTAAAATTAAGAAACTAAAATTAAAATTGAGCCCAATTTTTCTGGGGGTTGAAATTAAATTAAATATTCACGAAAATTATCCCTAAATTTCTCACATAAGGAAAAAAGTTCCTAAATGTAGTATAATTATCTTTAAAAAGAATAATAATTTATCTTTTTTTATAATTTTTAACTTTAAAAGTTTGAATCGATGTTAATTCACGAAAATATTTTTTATCTGAAATATTGATTTTGACTTTTAGACAAATATCAACTATCCGGTCCTCGCTAGCGACGCTCATGCCCAGCAATATACAAAGAATATTGTCTACGAATCAAAATGCTGTGAAGTTAAAAATTGATTGAAGTATGCTATGTGATTTTCAGAAGGATATAAATTTTATGTGAACGAATTCTTCACTGTTTATGTAGGATTAATGGAAAATTCGTATGCTATCTTCACTGTTTATATAGGATTAATGGAAAATTCGTATGCTATCTTCACTGTTTATGTAGGATTAATGGAAAATTCGTATGTTATCTTCACTGTTTATGTAGGATTAATGGAAAATTCGTATGCTATCTTCACTGTTTATATAGGATTAATGGAAAATTCGTATGCTATCTTCACTGTTTATGTAGGATTAATGGAAAATTCGTATGTTATCTTCACTGTTTATGTAGGATTAATGGAAAATTCGTATGCTATCTTCACTGTTTATATAGGATTGATGGAAAATTCGTATGTTACGATCATAAAAGAAACTAGCAATTATACTTCAAAAACTGAGGAAAATAAATTGTTAGAGAATCTGATCTATTGTGTAGTAATTTTGTTAATTGCATAGTGAATAGTGTTCAGTAAATTTTTTAGAGAATTGTATTATTAGAAATTCTGTTTCCTTCTTTCATTATAATTAAAACTTTAAAACTAGAGCTTAAAAATGGATGTGTTTACTGGTGTTTTTGAACAAACTAGATGGAGGGTACTGAGTAAAAGCTGCGTCAGTTCTATGGCGTACAGAAAGAGGGCAAACTGGCAACCCCAGGCATCCATACACATTGGCACGCCACTCTTTGCTTTCTGATCATTTTATCTTCTGCATAATAAGAACTGAAATTATTAGCGCTTTGAGGCAGTGCTTCATCAAGAGTATATAAGATTTCCGAAAAGGACATAAAAGAGGCCAAACTAAATCATGAGCATGAAAAGTTCACTGTAGTACCAAATATAGTTTATTTCAGTAAATTTTTTTACCATCTATTTTATGTCTATCTAGTTAGTAGTATGAAGATCGAGTTAGCTGATATTTTACTGTCGTAAAATTTATCTTTTCTTAGAACTTGATCACGTGGACTGATGCCGCTTTCCTTCTGTACCTTTCATACAGTTAGTTACAGTTTTGTAGTTTTTTTTTGCAAGTTCTTCATTTGCGTATCCTATTTCGATCTTTATTTTAAATAAGTTTAAATTTTTCTTAGTTAATTTTAAAAATTTAAGTAGTTTTAAAGAAATTTTTTATCCCGTATTATTGAGAAACAGCTCGCTTGGAGCAAAATAGATCTTAATTTTTAAGGTAGTTTTTTTTTGTGAATAATTAATTTGCTTGTATAACGTCATTAGAAAATCTCAGAGCAAAATGTCTCTGACCTTTACTTATATTTTTTTAGTAATAGTTTAAATTTGATATCAGTCACTAATTTCATCTCATGCGAATGAGAAAAATTTTTTAAAATTTTAACTGTTACTGTTCTGGAGTTTGTGCCTAACAGAAAAGAAATCTAAAGTTTAGAAGAAAGAAATGCTTTTTAATTTTCAGTTTGCTTTGCATGTATAGCTGAAAAATATTTTACTTTCTAAGTTAGAAATTAATTCAGGAGATTTCGAAAGAAATAGATTACTTAATTTGCGAACATCTTGAGAAGAATTTTTTCAGCGGTTAAGGAGAAAAAAAATTTTTGGAGAATAAGAAAAAAATTTAATATTTGCAACAAATTTAGAGAGCCAACTGTGGCTAATATTATTAAACTCTAGCAGAAGCAAGAACAGACACAACAACAATAACCCAGTTAAAAGAAAATAAACCTGCGAGAAAACGGAAGACTGTATGGTGTGATAAAATGGCTCAGATGTAAAGTTAGAATTAATGTATCAAAGTGATTACTATAAGTGATGTATCAAATTTAGAGAACCTACAATAGCTAAGGTTATTAACTTCCAGCAGATCTGAGAACAAAACAACAATAACCCAGTTAAAAGAAAGTAAACCAGTGAAGAAACGGAAGACTGTATGGTGTAATAAAATGGCTCAGATGTGAAGGGATGAGTAATGTATCAAAGTGATTACTTTAAATGATGTATCAAATTTAGAGAACCTACAATAGCTAAGAATAATAAACTCGAGCAGATGTGAGAACAGACACAACAAATATAACTCAGTTGAAAGAAAATAAATCGGCGAGGAAACGGAAGATTGTATGGTATGATGAAATGGCGCAGATGTGAAATGATGATAAATGTATCAAAGTGATTACTTTAAGTGTTGTATCAAATTTAGAGAACCTACAACAGCTAAGGTTATGAAACTCCAGCAGATAAGATGTGATATTAGACACAACAACAATAAAGCGGTCATTAAAAAAATACGTCTGAGAGAAAAAATGGAAGATATCACATATGATATGTTGAGATAAATTAGTTGAGATGCAATAGGCTAAAAACAGATGGAAAAAATACTTTGTAGGATAGATAGAGATGACATTAACTACTTGAGGCAGCCAAAGCCGAAAAAGTGATAAATGGAAAAAGAAGAAAAATTTTAAATTTGAAGCTTTTACTGAACGAGTTATGGATTTAATAATTTAAAGGAAATCTATTGAAAAACTGAACTCCTTGAAACTCACAGAGCGGAGAACGAAAACAGAGACCACACCTTCCGACCCTTCTTTCTTTCCGCTTTCGCCAAACGATCTTCATCCTGCAGATCAGGAGGAGATGATTCGAAATCTTGAGATTTCAACCAATCCCATACTTTTAAATACACCTCTTCATTATAAGTTCCTCTATCCTTCCAATTGAAAACACCAGCGTTCTTACCCGGTATCCAAATTTCGGGACCTTTAATCAATAAATACATCCTGCTCATTTCGTTCTCGTCCTTTTTCCCAATCCTTTTCGGAGGACCAAAGGTTTTCTTCACCCAAAACCTGTACTTTTCCTCACAGTTGTAATCTCTTTCCTTCTTTCCGAACCTATGGAAGAAAAACAAAAACAAAATTTTTTTAATTCTGGGGAATCGAATTTAAAACACGAAATTACTTATTTAAGTACAAGATAACACTTTTTTAAATTTGTACTTTTAAATAAAGAGATACAGTTGTATAGTATATTTATTTAGATCATACAAGTAATGATTCTGATAAGAAAGAAATTTAAAAAAACTAAAAATATATTTAAACGAGGGAATTAGTAAATCAATAGTTACACGATAACTGCAATTAGATACAGAAATCAGGTTTTTTTTTTAAAAAAAAAGGTAGAAGCAGAATTAAGCAAAATTAGATACAGAAATCAGGCTTAAAAAAAAAAAGAAGGTAGAAACAGAATTAAGCGATATTAGATACAGAAATCAGGTTTAAAGAAAAAAAAAAAGAGGGTAGAAACAGAATTAAGCGAAATTAGATACAGAAATCAGGTTTTTTAGAGAAAAAAAAGGTAGAAACAGAATTAAGCGAAATTAGATACAGAAATCAGGTTTAAAAAAAAAAAAGCGGGTAGAAACAGAATTAAGCGAAATTAGATACAGAAATCAGGTTTTTTAGAAGAAAAAAAAAGTAGAAACAGAATTAAGCGAAATTAGATACAGAAAACAGGTTTTAAAAAAAAAGAAGTAATATCAGAATTAAGCGAAACATAACTTGATACAGATAGAGTAAGAAAGGTACGGAGTTGTACATAGGTTGTCATTAACCCAAAATTGGGTCGGCTGTTCAACGACAGTTATAAAATAAAATAATAATTATAAAGTAGCATAATTATTTAAAAACGTTGGAATGAGCTGCAGTCAGCGAACTTATTTTTAAAATTTAAAGAATTAAGTTGGGTACTCTTTTTTAGATACACGTTTAATTTAAAACTGTATTAAATCTGTTAAGTCTTTTAATTTTTTTAAGAATAAGCGTAAGACGAAACTTAATTATTATTGTAACTATTTTTTTTGCGATTGAAGTATTTTATAAATATAAGTAGTATTAATTAATAAGCATTAATCAATTTATTGATTTTAAACAAATCTGACAGAGCAGTGTTACCAAAAATGTCAATTGCTCAATGTAGTACCATTAATTTTAAATTAAAAAAGTGATAATTTTAAACACCGCTTTATGAAATAATATAAATAAATATTATATAATAACTGAATGCATAATAATAATAAATTAATAAGATAATAAAAAACTTATAAATTATTTATTAATAACTAATTTTAACATTAATAGAATTATTTATGAACTTTAAGGTAAGACAAAACTATTGCTATTATTTTAGTATGTCAGTAAGTAAATGCACTAAAAAATTCCTAATTTTGCATTAATGATTAGGTTAACAGAAATATTTATTAACGCCATAAAAAAAAATCTAATCAAGTTAACTTGATGTATTTGATTTAAAATTAGTCAAAATTTGCATACTAACCTAAGCAGAGTTTATTTATTAATTACATTTTGTATTCGGGAGTATTTTTTATTTGTTTACTGTTTAATGTAAACACATAAATCCATTTAACTTGACAATTTGGGAAATTTTTTTTTGTAGAACATGGTAATTAAAACATTAAACAAGCTTTATTATAAAATCGTAATTTTACAAAGCCCCAAAACCTGTGTAGTACTGAAAATATCCATCAACTTAATGGATAAAATCTTAATTTTATTTATTCGACAATCATTCATTGGGAAATTTTAAAATCTTCAAAACTTTGCTTTTTGGAGAAATATCAGACATTTGTAATAAATGAAAAGAATTTATGAAAAATTAAAGTCGAAAATAAAAAAATAAGTACTTACATTTTACTTTGCATACAATTGAAATTCTGAACATAATACGTTTCAAAGTAATTGAAAAATTAGGATTTCTTTAAATCTTAAAACTAATTCTATGAGTTATCATTTTAATTTGAATATTTACTAGTAAAAATAAGTAGAGTTTAACTTACACTTTCTTCAGAAGTTTCGCCATCGCTAAATAATTTTTTTTTTAGATCACAAATGATAATTATCATACAAGCGTAAAATCTCCAGAGAAAATGAAATTTAATTTTTAGAACACGATGACGTCATCGGATCATACGATGACGCAACATTGATTAACTTTCCTTTGTTGAAATAATTAATTTTCATTGGTAGAAAGGAATAACTTTTATGAGCATTGTTTAAAAATTTCTATGCTTCGAGTCAAAATATACCATTACTTGTTTCTTTTTTATAATTTTTTAAGTTAACATTATACTGTTTTTTTTTTTTCGTTTAAAATTTTAATACAATTTTAATTATGTATGCCACCCAGTTTTTTTTTCTAATGAGTCAAAATAAAATTTTAATTTTGGTAAGCAGTTGTCCTACAATTATAAATTTGAAGTTAAGTTCAAACATTTATAAAACACTTTTTAAAATAAGGGTAAATTTGAGATGAAAAATTATACATGTCACACTAACACTCCTACAACAAATTCTAATGCATAAATTTATTGATCAATTGTGTGATTTCCTGTTGATTTAAACCATTATCTTTACAAAAATTTAAAAAAAAAACAATAAAGTAGAACTAAATATATTATTTAATATTGCATTTCTAAATAAAAAACTTAAATATTCTTACTCAAAGTTTGATAAAAAATATCGAATTTACACTTAGACCTTAGCTTTTAGTTCAAAACATTGCAAACAATTTATAAAATTTACATACAAAATTTCAAAATATTCTAAAAAAAAATAAACTGTTTCGTAATTTTTTTTTTGATAAATTTTTTTTCTCAAAATCAACTTTCTTCAGAGAATGCGTTTAAAATGTGAAAAAATGTCTGAAATGTAAGAAAAATTTAGAAGGAGAAAAACTAATTATTCGAAAATTAATTTCAAAAAAAGTTTATCTCAAAATTTTATCTTAAAAATATAATTTATTCAAATGAAGAAATAGCTTCATATGCCAATTCATAAAAATCGGATACCAAAAATTTAAAGACTTTTGAGAAGTTAATAAAATAAAGTTCAAAAAAAAAATCTAAATTTTGGTCGAAATGGTCGATTTTTACCCAGTCGCATACTTTGAATGAACATGAATCCCAAAGAACTTAAAATATTTACATAACAAACATTTTTTAATTATTAAATCCGAAAATAGTCAAAAATATTTGTATGAGACAACACATTTTTTCTATAACCACTTTAAAATTAAATTGCTGTTCAAATTTAAAAACAATATTAAAGAAATTATCGTCTTGTGATGTCTACTATGGTGTCAAGATGTGATTGAAAAAATAAAAATAGGCACACCCTTCCTAATGATACTTAATAGTAAATAGGTTTCAATTTACCCAATTAATTAAAAAAAAATTTATCATAGTATTATGTTAAGTTTGTAACTAATTTAAGACTTTCAAATGGTTGTTGTTGTTGACGTGTACTATTAAGGCAGAGGGGGTGCGATTGTTCTGTTTTCCAGTGGTCCAAATTGTTCTATGTCTTAAATTAAAAATTAAAGTTGATGACCTAAAATTGCAGTAGTTTATTACTGTACAAATGAAAAAACTGATAGTTTCAGTCAAGCTTGTGTAGAACTTGCTCAATGTTTATGAGGTTGAGCAAAATTTTCGAAAATATTCTAGGATTCCCGCACCAAAAGGTTGAATAAACCCTAATATGGTTAAAGAGGATGAACAATATTTATCGTTAATTAGAAAAGCTTACTTAAGGCAATTAGTTTATTTCTGTGGAATAAGTAGTGTAAAGCCGACCGGCCTGTGTCGGGGGCAGGGAACTGTCCTTGCATCAGAAAAGTCCTGGGTTCGAATTCCGGGCAAGGCATGGATGTTACTTTCTCTCTCTCTGTGTTCTATGTCCTTTCTCCTATGTGTGTGAATATGATCCGCCCTATAAACGGGTTGTGGTTGTGTGAATGGCGTGGCATAAGTCGAATTCCTGGCCATAGATGGCGCCACTGAAAAACAGGAACAATCGCACCCCCACTGCCTAAACAGGCATACGAGTCATACGACAAAAAAAAAGTAATTTAAAACATCCAAATTTATTGTTGTTCTAAATTGTATGTTTGTGATGAATGAAAAAAAAATCAAAATGATTTGTTAAAAATTAAGAAAAAGAAGCTTGAATTTCAAAAAAAACATTCGAACTTTCTTGTGCTAAAATTTTTCTGTGAAGAACAACCAGCAACAACGTTTTCTTCAAAAGATTATTCAAATTATTGAATAATCTTTTTCTCAATGAATGTTTGAATAACATTTATTGTATAGAAAATATATATTAGTTTTCCGATACAAAACAAACGAAAGAAATTTAAATGTAAGTTAGATATTTGAACTAATTTTCTTCTGTAAATTGTACAGGTTCTCCAGAAATACTTAACATCCCTTATAAGTTTCCGTCGTCCCTAGGAGGGTGGTAGCACCTACGTTTGGTTACCAACAAAACCAAATAAACTGAATGTTTTAATATTTATTTAAATACTTGCTGAATATCCATCCCTTGTACGGGAGGGGAAAAAATGAGAAAGAAACACTTAATTTATATTGAATAACAATACAACATCATGTACGAAAAGACCGACATAATACATTTAGTTAAAATAATTTTTTTTTAATTATTGATATTTGTCCGATAGCTTTACGCTATTAATTTAAGCAAAACACGTTTTTAGAAATTGTTTCCAGTAAAATAATAGTTAATTATATTCATTATGCAAAAAATGCTGTTGTTGCAAAATACTACTGCTGCTCGACGCCAACTTATGATACTCAACATTTATCACAATCAACCAATTTTTTCCTGTACCTTCCTGTACCAATTTTTTCCTGTACTTTCTTTTGAGAGTTGATAAGAAAATTCAAAACCATAATACCTAAATTAGGAACCTTAATACCAATATTAAACACCTTTTCTAGCGTATTTAGTACCTGTTAAAACATCACCTAAAAGTACCTATTACCAAAATTTTAATTCATTGAAAAATATTTTTATTAATTGGCAGTAAGATATTCATAATTAAAAGATTAAAACACAATAAAATATTAATATTGTTTTATCGTTTATTGGCGATAATTGCTAGGACACCAACACTGAAATAAAACATACTGAAAGTATTTGCAAATTTTAAAGGTAAAATCCTAGCATTATACAAGCTTGGAACGATTTTGAAAAAAACCGCCAATTCCGAAATGACGCGTTTACGCTTGTCACTTAACTAGCGATTGTCTTCAAAAATTGGCGTAGGAAAAAACAGATAAAATCATAGCCTGAAAATAGCGGAAACATAAACTTCCCGTGAATAAATCATAAATATATCATGAAAACACTAGTATTTATGAATTTTAAATATTGAAATATTTTATAAATTCTTAATTTGAATAACAGAAAAATCACACGACGAATTCCAAAATGGCATATGTTGCAGCCAACCACCGGATGTAAAGTTAACAAGCTTATTCTGTGAGGAATGAACATTAGACATTATCAACCTCTAACAATCAAATTGTACCTCAAAATAAAATGAATTTACCATATTTTATATACTAGTGAATTGATGCTTAATAATTATAGTGGTAGTTACGCTACAAATCCTTCTCACAAACATCGCCAATGCAAATACACCATGTAATGTATACTAGAATCAAGCCGCTCTGAATTAAATAATTCTAAACTTGTTGTCAGAGTTACTCTTAGGAATACTTAACGAACAAAATTACTTCGAATTAATTTAATGATTTTAAACAAAATTTGCAAATCCAGTTGAATTAAGCCAATAGTTTACCATAGTGTTGCCAAAATTATCAAAAATTAATTGTAGTGCCATTAATTTTAATTTCAAAAGTCGTTCTGTTTATTAATTTTAGCGTGAAGGAATACCATTATATTAATTACCATTATACCATTATATTATACCATTATATTATATTAATTATAATTTTTAAATTGAGACGAAACTATTGCAAATAGTTCAGTTTTTGAGTAAACAAATGCACTAAAAAATTCCTAATTTTGCTTTACTGATTAGGTAAACCAAAATATTTAATGACACCATGAAAAAATATCAAAAAAAGTTCAATTGAAGTATTTCATTTAAAATTTAATCAAAACTTGTACATTAACCTAAGCAGTTTTATTTATTAACTACTTTTTTGATTCGGGGGTACTTTTTTCTTGTTTATTATTTAATGTAAACATAAAGAAACATTTAACTTCGCAATCTGTGAAATCTTTTTAGTATGAAAATGGTAACTAGAAAATTAATCAAGCATTATTATCAAATCTCTATTTTACAGAGCCCAAAAACTACGTCGCACTAAAATTATCCATCAAATTAATGAGCAAAATTTTAATTTTATTTATTCAACAATAATTCATCGGGAATTTCTAAGCATGGAAAATTTTGCTTTCCAATGAATTATTAGATATTTTCAATAAATGAAAAGAATTTAAGGAAAATTAAATTCAAAAATAAAAAATAGGGAATTTGCATTTTACTTTGCATACAAGATACACAAACAATAGAAATTTTGCATTTATGAAATTGACGAAAGTTTGGTAAAAAGTTTTATATATTTTAATATTTTACAGGAATTAGATAATTTATTTATAATTCAATTTATTTAAAAATGAAATCTACATAATATAAACGAGCATGCAAACATTTCAAAGTAATAAAAAAAATTAGATTAGGATTCCTTTAAAGCTTACAATTAGCATTATTAGTTATTAATTTAAATTGAATATTTAAAGTTGAAAATAAATAGAGAGAAACTTACATTCTTTTCAGAAGTTTCGCCATCTCCAAATATGTTTTTTTTTAGATCACACAAATGCTATCAATCATACGAGTGCAAAATCTCAAGAAAAAACGAATTTTAATTTTTAGAACATGATGACGTCATCAGACTATACGATGACGTCATCCGACCATAGTATGACGTAACAATAATTTAATTTGCCTCGTTGAAAATATTTATTTTCTTTGGTTAAAACGTAATATCTATTATGACATTGTTTAAAAATATCTCTTCCTCAAATCAAAAATTACAGTATACTTTTTTTTTAAATTTTTTATTTCGTTTATAAATTTTTAAATTAACCTAATTCTCTTAAAAACAAAAAAAATTGTGTAACAAACTTTTTTTTTAATTAAAATCTTTTAAAAAAATAACAAACTTAGCTTATTTTTAATTTTTTGAATATATTTTAGAACTAATTTTTAAATATTTAGTTTTAATATTTTTTAGTTTTAATATTATTTAATTTTAATATTTTTTACTTCAGGATTAGATTATTTAATTTTTTAAGACAAGAATGTGTCTCTTACTTTCTTTGGAATTTATTGCGTATTTTGTAAACTAGGAAAAAAGTTCCCTTAGCGATTGTTCGATTGGCGTAGAAACCACAAATTGCTCTTATTGTATCTCCCAAAACTGTAAATGCAAATTTAAATGAATTTTACCAATTAATTAAATGAATTTTTTCTCCAAATTTACAATTTAGCAGTTACAATACTTTTTATGTAACTGAGTACTTTTAAAAAATAAATAAGTAAAATAGCAAATTTATTTTCAAGTTTTTATGTTAAGTTTGTTACGAATTGAAACATTTCACGTTGTTCTATCTTTTAAAATCAAAGTGAATGAACTTAAGATGCACTAGTATAGGGTAAACTAACCAGTGAAGGAACACTTAAGCTTCGCTTGCCTTTTAAAAAATCATATTAATTTCAAAATTCGTAATTTTAGTTAAATGACAGTGTCAACATATTTGATACTAATTGCAAATTATGTAAAAAAAATTATAGAGAACTTACATAACATTGTTTTAAGGTTTTTGAGGTTCAAATAACAAGTAGTAAGAAGACGAAGTGAAGGAACAGCTCTTACTTATTGAAGGAACACAAAATTTCCCAGTAAGGAACACTTAATTTTGGTTATTTTTTAATGCTCTTTATGAATTTATATATCATACAAATATCTAAAAACAAGCCTATTCTTGAAATTATAGAATACAAATACNTACACCTTTTTTAAACTAAATAACTAATAGAAAATATAATATTATTTATATTTTATTAAAAGAAATTTAAAAATATAGCTATATATCGAATGTGCCTTCTAAAAACGCAAAAGAATTTTTCAGGAGGTCAATCTTTATTCCTTATTTGGGCTCCATTATATCGTCGTTGAAAGACCGTTTTTCTTCTACACAAAGAAAAGCATTTTCACTCTTACAGCTTCACCCGAATAATATGAACAAACTGGACAAAGCGTCATATCTTGAAATTTTAGAAGATATATATAGAAGATCTGCTCTCCCTGAATTTCATCGCTAAAGCTACAACGTGGTACGAAATGTGGAGGAATAGAGAAAATTCTTATGAATCCCTTTAATACATCGATTTAGTTATTGAGGCCACACCGTTTTATCCAGCTGTAGCAGAGGTAATCAAAATTGGCCTAACTCTTCCAGCCACTACGTGCACTATTGAACGCACTTTTAGTACAATACGAAGCATCAAAACATGGAATCGGTCTACAATGTCTCACGAGAGATTAAGTAGTCTGTGCATAAGAAAAGAATCAAAGATGACTTAGAATTCATTGAAAAAGTTATTAACAGATTTGGACAGCAAACAAGACGATTACAATTCTTGTTTGATTAGACAATTTCTTAATTGTTATGCATCAATAATTACTTAATTATTTGTTTTCGAATAAAAATATTTTTAATTAAAAAAGTTTATAACAAAATTGTTTTTCTGTACCTCTTTAATTGTTTGGAAAAAAAACAGGGGGGTGCAAGTGCACCTCCTTGCACCCCCCTGCCGGCGCCCTTGTCTGTAGCTAGTCGGGAAGTAAGTTTAAAATCGATTACAATATTCCAACCGAACAGACATACAAGAAGGCAAGTTGATATAAATGTGGTGAAATTAAAGTGAATGAACTTAAGATGCACATACATGTGAAAAAAAACTGACTGTTTTTTCACATGTCACACATATGCTTTATTTGAGCATGGAGATCCAAAAAATGTTCGTAAATATTATGAGGTCCCCAAAGCGAAATGTTTAAGAAACGCTGATATAAATGATGAGAAAGAACAAGAATCATCGTTAATTAATTAGAAAAGGGTACTATACTTTACAAAGGCAAATGGTTATTTTCTGTGGACTTAGTAGAGTAAAATAACTTTTTAGATTATTTCAAAAATATAAAACTATATTTATGATGAATTTAAAATTGTTAAAATAATTTATTAAAAATTCAGAAAAAATTAAATTTCGAAAAGGAGAAAAATCTCGAGTTTTCTTGTGTTAAAAATTTTTAAGTTTAGAGCAGCAAGCAAAACATTCTCTACACTACAATTAGTTAACAATCCTTTTTTCTATAAATTTCTAAATTAATAATTGCTTGAATAAGAGAAAAATCTTCTTCAAAAAGATATTTGCCTCATCGTTTCCTTCGAGTTTGAGTTTTGAAAACATCAATCAGAGACGCATTTCTGCATTTTATAACTGTCGTTGAACAGCCGACCCGATTTTTTTGGGTTTATGATTACCACTGTTAAATTAGCCTTGTAAATTTGAATCCTATCCAGAAGACAAGGGAACTCCTGGATCAAGTATTGAGAGAAATTTTGTCTTTGTGGGGGACTTTTTAGGAAACTAACCCGCATTACATGAAGAAGAAAACCTTCCACGGTTAGTCTGTCTGACGGCAAGGGGTCTCTAACCCATGATCCGTCTACCACTGAGGATAATTTACGCCAGCACTGTGATCGGTGCGGAATTCGAATGGAACAGCCATCGCTGGGATTCGACTCCGGCTATGGCTGGTTAACGTGGCTTCATTTTATAACTGTCGTTAAACAGCCGACCCAACTTTGGGTCGTGTTAGGTTTTATAAAAGAAAAATTTAGTTTCATCCTACTTAGTTTTATCATTATATAATATATTCGCCGTTGAGCAGACGACCCAATTTTCGGGTTTACGACTACTAATGTTCAACCTCATAGACTTGTAATTTTGAACCCAATCTAGAGGACAAGAGAACTCCTTCTAGTGGGAGAAATTTGCCTTCGTGGAGGACTTTTTGATGCAACTAACCGACATTTGCGTTAGATGGAGGGGGAAACCACGAAAACCTTCCACGGTTAGTCTGCCTGACGGCAAGGGGACTCTAACCCATGATCCGTCTACCATTGAGGATATTTTACGTCAGCGCGAGCCGAGAGCAGAATTCTTATCAACCAGTCATCGCTTGGATTCGAACCCGGTTCACCTCATTTGAAGACGAACGACGTGATTCAATACACGCTATTTCACTTTTTCAGAAGTGAACGACTTCTCTTTGTCTTTGCTTCGCTGGTAAGAAACTTTCAAGCCATCACTGTCACACAAATATACCGGAAAATATTTGGAAGTGTTTTTCCCATGAAATGTAACAACTACAAAATCTCATGCTTGCAACAAGGGACTTTTATCATTAACATCTGGTTAAGTATTGCACATGAGTCGTTTTGACACAAAGTACGTGAGGTGGGGGTGTAAACTTTTGCATGGATCAAGTTTTACAATATTCCACCTATGTTTATTAAGCTCTAATTAAAATACATAATTATACAGTACAGAACCCGTTTTCCGGAAATCAGAAAACCGGAAAACCAAAAAACCGGAACGAAATTCAATAAATTTTCTCGCCATTATTTAAAAAAAAATTTTTTTTCCTCATAAGATTTTGGGATTTTTCTTTCTTTTTTGAAAGATGTTTACCTTACCATCATTTTGGAAATAATCATAGTGTATTACTTCATCGTTTTTTCTTCTTTTTAAGAATATTTCCAATTTTTTTTTTTAAGTTGGGTTTAACAATAAAAAAAACGACTTTTTGTAGCGATTCAGAAAACCGGAAAAATCAGTTATCCGGAATAGCGATGGTCCCGATCGTTCCGGATAATCGGTTCCCTACTGTATT